TTATATAATGAATCACACTATATAGTGAAGTTTTTTGCCAAAACAAACTCTTCCTTATATCGAGCGCCAACTGTACTAATAATACTAATACACTTTCTGAAAAACTTGTTTATAGGTCGGCCTGAAAATGAATTGTATTAAAAACCACAATAAATTCCCATTCTATAATCAATTCATTGCTTGGATTTAGTAATCTGTTGTTACACTATAATGTCAAGTATTTTTTCTTGTTATAAGAAAGAAAGAAAGAAGGATTAAATTAATTAATTATTATTTTTGGCGTAATCAATCAAAATCATCGCATTTATCAGCAATCTTTCTTTATTATGTGGATAAATAAAACTTATCTTCCATGAAGCTGCGTTAAATAGAACCAATTTTCCTCTTTTATCATATGTTTGTTTTACTGTAGTCACCTGTCAACACTAATTTGGTAACACGGGCTTCGTAATCGTGCAACTTCAAATATAGATAAGTGTATCGTTTATTTCCTCATCTTCAAATTGAAGTATTTTGAAAATGTCGTTTTTCAAAGAATATTTGACAGTTTTAACAGTTTTAGAACTCTCGGCTTGCATTATTTTATTATCTATACTAAAATTTTATTATGATTATTTCACTCGTCCAATTCCATATCCGGGTCCACTTCCATTGCCTATTATAGGTAACCTTCATCAGTACTTTTATCATAGGGATGATATACCATCTTGGCTTTATCGATTGAGTTTAAAATATGGAGGTGTATTTGAAATGTATTTCGGGCCCAACAAGCAATTGATGATCAATGATTCTCGGGTGGTTGAACGAGTGATGAGTCCAGCAAAGGATGGCAACTACTTTATGCGTTTTAAGACCAAAATAGGATTAGATGAGTTAGATATGGGCAGCAATGGGACGTTATTTAATGTGGATTTCAATTCTTGGTCTCATATCAGGAAAATTATCTTTAGGATTATATCGTCACCCAATGCTTTAAGATTTTCTGAAAAGTTAGCCAATGATATTTTTCAGGATTTAGAGAAGTTGTGGGATAGTTTAATTGAAAAACAAGGTCAAATTTGTCATAAAAAGCAAAAAAAATCGGTGACGATTGATTTTATGCCTTGGACGAAAATAATTTTCGCAGAATCTATAATGTTGATGACAACCAGCCGAAAACCCAATTTATTGTCATCGTACTACAACAGAATCACAAATAAAAATCTTGATGGCAATATTAAAAGAGATTCAAATGAAGAATTTTTGGAGCGTTTTGTTATCGCATCTGATTGTGTACAATATTATCTGTTAGTTCCACCATTAATTCGTAATCTTCCAATCGTAAACACTTATAGTAAACTTTTTGGTCATCTTTATTACTAGAGAGATTTCCCATCATTAGTTGTGTTTTAATAAATAAATCTTT